GCTTCCTTTCACGAACTGACTTCTCATATTTCTATGTTGCGCGTGCGACAGACGCGGGAAGAAGCGTAGCCTGGCCTCGAGCAGTGGCGGCGGCGGCATTCCGGGCCACAGAGCCCGATGCGCCGACCGCCCGCGATTAGGGCGAGGACCAGCGCGCCCTTCCCGTACGTCCCTTCACTTTCACTTTGCTGCTTCTCAATTCTCTCTCGTTCACGAACTAACCTGGAATATTTCTATGTTACGCGTGCGACAGACGCGGGAAGAAGAGTAGCCTGGCCTCGAGTGGCGGCGGTATTCCGGGCCACAGAGCCCGATGAGCCGACCGCCCGCGATTAGGGCGAGGACCAGCGCACCCTTCCCGTACGTCATTCAACCTCTCGCTCTATGTGTGCATCTTACATTCACTGACCAACCAACTTATAACATGTTACACGCACCACAGAAGCGGGAAGAAGCGTAGCCTGGCCTCGAGTGGCGGCGGCGGCATTCCGGGCCACAGAGCCCGATGCGCCGACCACCAGCGATTAGGGCGAGGACCAGCGCACCCTTCCCGTACGTCCCTTCACTTTCACTTTGCTTCCCACTTCTCTCGTTCTCTCATGCACGAACTAACTTCTCATGGTTCTATGTGTTTCCACACATGCAACAGACGCGGGAAGAAGCGTAGCCTGGCCTCCAGGGGGGAACGGTAGATGTACAGGAACACGGAGAAGAAGATGATGACGACGACATGTAACGAGCATCAACTACTGGCGACAGTGCGATCCCGAGCAATGCCGGGCCATCAAACAATGGTCCGGGTTGCGTTGATGCGACCTTGTGTGTCTTCCAATTTCTTCTCCTTCTCCTCCTTTTTGTTCTCCTTCGTAGGAGAACCAAACCAACACGATTGTATCCTCAAACTCGCCCCCCCCCCCATATCTTCTTCTTCTTCTTCTGCATTGGAAGAGGTCTGGTGTCAATGGGTTTCAACTTACTGCGCGTCTCGCACGGCACACACAAAAGCCACCAACCAAGCGCGATCGAGAAAAGCACGACATCTCTCTCTCTCTATTTATTTCCTC